TGAAGTCTTTTCTCATCTTAGGGAAATGACTGAAAGGTCTGGTCATAACAGACCTAAGTTAATTAGTGGTAGTGGTATGAAATGTCATCACCAAGGTTCACATGATTTAGCAATGGAAAATGCTGTGATCTTTAATGAACACACTGTCGGGAGCCAAGTATCCTAAATTTTGTGTCTTCTACCTCCCTTTCAAGGCTGATCCCTGTGACCTAATGCATCCTTTGTAAAAAGCGGACTCAGCTAGGATGTTACACCACCATTGTCGAAGGAACCCTGAGCTCCAGGAAGAGTTACAGATTCAGGCTGCAGTGGCTGCCGGCGATGTGCACACAGTGCGAAAGATGTTAGAACAAGGCTACTCTCCAAATGGCCGGGATGCTAATGGCTGGACCCTGCTCCATTTCTCTGCAGCAAGAGGAAAGGAAAGATGTGTCCGTGTATTTCTAGAACACGGAGGTGAGTTTACTAGAAGCAAATCTTTTCTTCCCAAAGAGGAGCTTAAAATGGGATTATATTTAGTTCACAATATAGGTGAGTGTGTGTATGTTAATGCTTCTCTTTTGTGATACTCAACTTCTTACTTTGCTGCATGGGGACATGTGAGAATAATGCTGAGTTTTTTTTGTTTAATAGCAGGTTGTTTAAAAGATCAGCTTGGTGAATGTGTTTCCCTGCCCTTCCCCATAAGTATGGTTTGTATACAGCCAGGTTTTCCCAAGGTTATTTCAACTAAAAGCAGCCCTTCTTCAGGCTGTCTGGCTGCTTTTGTTTCAGAAGCAGAAGTGGCTATGGGACCCACAATTAGAGAATTGCACACATTTCCCTTCCCCTGTTGATAATTGCTCAAGCAGACAGACCTAGCGCAGGTCCCTTTAAATACGTGTCCTTCATGATACCCTCTTTTTTTTTTTAATTTTATTGAGGAATAGCCATAGTCATTGGTTACACGTTGCTTTCATGCTACAATGGCATAGTTGACTCTTAAGGAGGGCTCAGCTCAACAGCGGGGATCGAACCGGCAACCTTGGTGTTATCAGCACCACGCTCTAACCAACTGAGTTAACTGGTCACCCCAATACCCTATCTTTTTAATTTACCACCTCTTGAAAAATAAATTGGATGCTGTCTGTTATTACTGTTACAGAGCAATAGTCTTTTCCAGAATTCTACATTGTTTCTAGGTATCACAAGCAGTTCGGTTACCTGTGGTCTAATTTTGTATAAATATATGCAGTTGGAAACTATATTTGACGTTTTGTTTTTGCTTCAAAAAACTATTACCATAATTAATAATTCTCATGATTAATGATAGCTAATAATTGTCTTAAATCAATATGCATTTTTCTCCATTTGAATTTCCACTTCCATTAGTTTCCTGAGGATGGACTATATGTATTTTTTCATTTGTACCCATATTACCTTTGTTAATGAGGGTTTAAAGCAGTTTAGTTGGGACCCAGATTTGACATGTGCCATTCTAGGGCCTCAGTTGCTCATTAACAGCATTTGTTTTCGTTTCTAAGGTGTACGGTGTTACAAAACTAGTCAAGTTTGCAGACTTCCTTGATGTACAGAAAATGTGAGAGAAGTCCCACAGCTGTCCTGAGGGTCATGTGAATTTTATGAAGATAGGAATATGAAGGGTATGAACCTGGGCTAATTGAAAGGCAGTGCTAAACCTCAGAGTAGCTGATGTCGCGCATCCCAGGGGTCCTGAAATAGGAACTATAATCTTGAAATAGATGACTGTTGATAGGACTTAGCCATTCTCTGTGCCTTCCTTGTAACTGCCCTCCATCCCTCCCCGCCTCCTGCTTTATTTCTCCCTAAAACTTGCAAACCTCAGGGCTTCAATCTATGTAAGAGGAATGCCAGTAGAAAGATCTGGAAAAAAATAAAACAAAATAAAAGGTGGGTGAAGGATCAGAACGCTAAAAATTCTGTAAGTGCTTAGTAGAGTGAAGACGAAGATCAAATTTCACATTTTTTTTTTATTCTACTTAGTACGGTTCCTTCCTACTTCTTCCAGCCTTGCTTTTAAAAACCTTAATTTAGAAAAGTTCACTTACTCAGGTAACATATGAATTTATCTCCTTAAAGCAAATTAAACAAAATTTTAAATCAATTACAAATAAAGCCAAAGTTCCCTTTGGCCAACTCCTGGTCCTTACCTGCCTGCCCTTGCCCAGAAGTAACCATGCGTATGAGTTTGGTTTGGTCCTTATCCTCCCAGATCATCTCCTAATTCTTTTACCTGTTACCTCATAAAATTCTGTTACCTCATAAAAAATGGCACCTTGTGTTGTGTGTGGTTTAAGAACATAAATTATATCATATCATATGACCGTATTTTGCAGCTACTATTGTTTGCTCAGCTATATAACTTAAAATATTTTTTTTAATAATAGGGGTTGGCAAAGTTTTTCTATAAAAGGCCAGAGTAAATATATTAGGTTTTGCAAGCCCTGCTCTCTCTGTCTCTGTGTA